CCAGAGCAGGCCATCAGAGTCTAACTTGCTGGCCTCAAGAGTAAAAACGGGCACTTTTCTGGAGGCGTTAACATTGATATTCCAAAGGGGTGCATTTGATTCTTTAAAGAATTTGGTAACTTTTAAAAGAAAATAATCACAATAAATTATCAATAAATGAAGGCTTTATAACAGACACTGAATTGTACTACATTATCTAATCTAATCCTTATAACAACCCTATAAAGCACTTAAACTTTTTTTCCCATTTTGCTGTGGAGAAACCAGGTTCGGTGAGTGAAATAATCAGCCAATTTAGCACAGCTGGTTAATGGTAGAGCAGGAATCACAACCCTGCCTGTGTGATGGAGTCTAGGGTAAGTAGGTGAGAAGTCTGAGGTTTTTAACTCATGATCTGCTAAGCACCAGCCACAGTATTGTCAGTGAACCTCTCTGAGCCTGTGTTTTCTCAAAGCACAGATGGTCAGAATCTTTGCCTCAACATGGAAAGTGTTTCATACCCTTCTGGTATACTCTAGAAGTACTTAGGGACAGTGTGTGGGCATAATAGTCATTCAATAAATATCTGTCCAATGCAGAAGCTCAGATGTTTGAATCTTCAAAATCAGATGCCTCCATTTTATTTCTCATGGCTCAAGAAGCCAGTTAAAGATAGAGGGGGGAAAAAGTTACCTTCAAAAAACATTACTGTGGGGCTTCCCTGGTGGTGCAGTGGTTGAGAGTCCGGTCTGCGAAGATCCCACATGCCGTGGAGCGGCTGGGCCCGTAAGCCATGGCCACTGAGCCTGCACGTCCGGAGCCTGTGCTCCGGAACGGGAGAGGCCACAACAGTGAGAGGCCGGCGTACCGCAAACAAAAAAACATTACTGTGACTGACTGTCAAGTAAGTTTCCCTGGCATGTCTTCTGTGAGGCGCTGGGTACTGGGAGTTTCCATGAACTCATGGAACAAGATAGCAGTGGGGAAATTCCACTCTCAGAGTCTTTTTTTTTTTTTTTAAATCAAATAGCTTTGATTTTGCTACTAGGTTCAAAAACTTCCAAAGTATGATTCCCTCCAGTTTTTAATAACATCAAAAACTGGGGCCAAGCATGGCTCCTGCATGTCCTTCACAATTATTTAAAAGTGCATCAGCACTCGAGTCATCCAGCTCAAGATCTGCACAGGACTCTGCCTCCTTGCGAATAAAGGGCCATCTTTCCTGACCACAAGCACGGTTCTGCTCCAACTCTCCTGTGCAGAAGCACTTGGTTTCACTCATCATGGTCCCCACATTTCTCCAGGCTCAAGACTGAATCACACAGTAACTTGCAGTGCTCTTTCCTTTATCACCAATTTCTAGCTCCAGTGTCTTGGTAACTCTGGATTCTCTACCTCTATCAGGAAAGTCCTAAAATTCTCAATAAAAAGTTTTATAGTTTCTTATAAAAGTAAACATATTCTTACCATATGACCCAGCAAGTCACACTCCTTGGGATTTACTCAAATGAGTTGAAAACCTATGTCTGTACTAAAACCTGTACAGTTATTTAGAGCAGCTTTCTTCATTAATTGCCAAGACTTGGAAGCAACCAGGACGTTCTTCTAAGTAAGTGAATGGATAAACTGTGGTACATTCAGATGACAGAATATCACTCACTAAAAAGAAATGGGCTATCAAGCCATGAGCAGACATGGAGGAAACAAAAGCATATTACTAAGTGAAGGAAAACAATATGAAAAGGCCACATACTGTATGAGTCCAACTATATGACATTCTGGAAAAGGCAAAACTATGGAGACAGTAAACAGATCAGTGGTTGCCAGGAGCTAGAGGAGAAAGGAGCGATGAATAGAGCACAGAAAATTTTTAGGGCAGTGAAACTACTGATACTGTAATGGTGGGTGGATACATGTCACTATACATTTGTTCAAACCCATAGGCTGTACAGCACCAAGAGTGAACCCTGAGGTCAACTACAGACTTTGAGTAATAATGATGGGTCAATGTAGGTTCACTGATTGTAACAAATGTACCACTTTCGGGGATCATGTTGATAACAGGGGAGCCTGTGAGTGTGTGGGGACAGAGGGTATGTGAGAACTCTGTAGTTCACACTCAATTTTGCTGTGAACCTAAAACTGCTTTAAAAAAGTGTCTATTTTTTTAAAGATAATTTTACCTCACTTTCATTTTAAAAAAAAATTAATGAAGACCACACAATCCTTGCAAAATGGTTGTTACAAAAATGAAACGCCAAGTGGCTGGGAAGCATTGCCCTAAATGCCTTTAAAGGCATATTTTCACAAAATGTTAATCATTCATATACACTTGGCTTCAGGTTAAAAGAACACATCAAATTTTACATAATCATACAGGCATGTGAGTCATATATGTGTTCTTGCACATAATTATAAAGCTATTAGTTTATTCTAAGCAAGCATATATGCTATGCTTAAATTTATCATCTTCAAATGCCACCTCTGCTCTTGCTGAGTTTTTACACTGCCAAAGTTTTAAATGTCTACTTTTCCTAAATCCCTCTTCAAGTCCAATTCCCATCCTATTTTTGTGTAAGTTTTCTCCTAAAACTGCTCCTGCATGTCTGGAGGATAACTTCTCCCAACAACCTCATGAAAACCACCAGCAATGATGTACTAATTTATGAGTTCGTGAGAAGAGTTTGATGGGTCCTCTGTGTTTATGTTGGTCTTTTCCTTCCTTGAATTTAAGTGTCTCAGCTCAGGAACCTATTTAAACTACTAGAACATATGGGAATTCCCTGGCGGTCCAGTGGTTAGGACTCGCAGCTTTCACTGCCAGGGCCCAGGTTCAATCCCTGGTCAGGGAACTAAGATTCCACAAGGCACGTGGCATGGCCAAAAAAAAAACTACTACTAAATGCACTTTTTCAAGCCATATGTGGCCCCACAGATTATGATACTGTCCCCTCAGAGAATAACACCACCAGCCCCTACCACTTCCACCCTAAGAATAATAATTGTCCCAGGGTGATATGGCTGATGCCAAGTACCCTCAACCTTACTCTGCACCCTCCAACAACTAGGTTCCTGGAGATCCTGAATGAAGGCCTAGGGAGCCATCGCCAAGCCTTCTTCTGGTTCCAGTGGACACCTCTTGATGACAAAACAGTCAGAGGAAAGCCCTTTGCACAAAGGTGAGTTGCTTAAATTTTTTTTTGTTTTTTATTAAATGATACACTGAAAGTATAAAAGTTGCCTAGGTACAAACCAGTTATAGAATAATGCATACAAATGTGCTACAGACTACATGTGACAATTCTGTTTAGCTTCTATTTTGATGATTTTATATCAGTATCCAAAATGACAAACTCCAGCATTTTTTCTTAACCCAGTCGTGCATGATTGCAATTCCTGAGGTAAACAGTGTCCACTACCAACAACCCTGCATGTAAACTAAATCCTCTGAGAAGAATTCAGATATTTATACTCCCCATACAATACAATGGAATTCATAACTGTAATCAGGTACTATAGATTTCATTTAAAAAAATGGAAATGAGCCCTTATAATACTTCTACATCTGTATATGTAATTTTAGCCCACAAATAGGGCCTCTCAAAATCCTTTGACTTGTAAAGTATGGTTTAAGGCAATTTTTAAAATAATTTTCTGCATTCAGATAAAAATTCTTGGTTAATCTGTAAGGACTGAACCCTGACTAGCACCAAAAATAAAATCAAGTTTCAATACTTTCCAAAAGCAGCACAGAATCTATACCCTGAGAAGAACGCCAATTCTGTCAACTACAGCCCTTATCACCTTCCCTGTGGAAAATGTTTAAGCTAAATGTTGTCAGTGTACAGGCGCCCATGCAGTTTTGTTCTGAATACACCTTATAATTTGTGCCAATCAGGTGTCTACTATAATAGTTTGTTGTTTTTCAGTGACATCAGTCTGAAGACTCCACATTATAAAAATGTCAATGAATATCAAAGTAGCATTTTAGAGATGGCACTATAAGAGCTCTTACTATTTTTCTACCCCAAGAATAAAAATCGACATTTAATAAGACACTCAGAGCCCATACAAGTAAGGGTTGGCCCTTTCACAGCTCGTCTTGTAATTGCACAACTGAAGGCCACATGGAGGTTAAACAATGCCATCTTTTAAAAGGTACTTTCTGGTATTTCTCATAAAGCCTGTCTCTTCATGTTTATTCCACATTCTTCACGTAATAAACTCTTTGTTTTACTTACAGCAGAATTAAAAGAATTATTCCCCCCCACACGCCTTTTAATTAAATCTTCTAGGTGAAGCCAAACTGTCTAAGGAAAGAAAAAGTACGTCGTTACCAAGTTTTAAACGTTCAAATTTAGGAAGTAATTCAGATATTTAAACCTAATTATAAATGGTTATCTGAAAAATAGCTAGCTCCACCCCCGAAAACAATCAAACTTTATAGGAATTATAGTTTTTTCTAGTTTTGGTGTTCTTTAAAATTTTTTTTTAAAAAACATGAATGAATTTTCCTATAAATCCACATAATTCCAGCCTGAAGGAAATTTAATTAATGTGCCATGGTAAAGAACAGACCAGGGAATTCCCTGGCAGTCCAGTGGTCAGGACTCAGTGCTTTCACTGCTGGGGGCTGGGTTCAATCTCTGTTTGGGGAACTAAGATCCTGGAAGCCATGTGGTGCAGCCAAACAAAGAACAGAGCATATGGCTATAAAGACCTGATTTTTTTTTTTAGAAGAATTTATAGGGTACTAAAAAACCCTTTCATTTCTCAAAACTTTAGGGGCTTTTAAAATCTTCCTAAAAACAACACATTTTCTTTCAAGTCAAATCTGGTAAGCTGGATGACAGAGTTAGCTTTTATTCACAAATGCAGTAAAACACAAGGGGCTAAAGGTTTTGCAGAAACTCACATTTCCACAAAGTACAAATATTAGTGATGAATTCTGGTAACATTAGGAGAATAAATAAGTTATTTAATGCATACAAGTTTATAAAAAAACGCCCCACATGGAAATGTCATCTCTTCATTGTGGGAGAAGCGTGCAGGTTTTCAGTGTTAGCGCTCCTCCCCTGCTCCTTCTGTAGGTGGTCCTCTGCAATGAACAGAAGCAAAGGTCAGTACTCATCCCAAGTAAAAATGGGCAGCAGGCAGACTTATCTACATACATTATAGGATGTTATATATTTAATATTGTGTGAGTTTTTTAGATGGCTTAGGACAATAAAAGGGGTTTTTTTTTAAACCCTATTGAAGAAATCAGAAATGTTTAGTACTAGGGACTCACTCTAATTTTTTATTTTTTTTTAAGTGAATAGAGTATACCCTGGAGTAAACCCATGGATAAGTACTTACAAACTTACACTGTATGTAAGGAATGGAATTCACAAGAAAGGACTGTATTCAATTAGTATTTTGAGGGATGCCAAAGCTCAACTAAAAAGAAAAAAAACAAAAACAAAAAACTTTTCTTCGAATAGAAATCCTCCCAGCAGCACCCTCTTGCGGCAAGAAGAAAACTAGCATGGTTTACAACTTCCTACCAAAATCAGAAAACCCTCCGAGAAATTGCAGAAAATGTTCTTTAGCCAAAAACAAGAAAGTTCCATGCAGCTTCAGAGGAGCCCAGAGCCTCTGTGACCACACACTGTGCTCCAGAATAGTAAAGAAAGGGCCCTAGTTATGTCTGCTCCATTTCTTTTGTCCTGGGGGAGAGGGGAGCAGGCAGAAGTATTCTCGATTAAAAGAACCTAAAGAGACTTAACATCCAATGCGACAAAAATGCAACGCACAGGGACTTCCCTGGTGGTCCAGTGGTTAAGAATCCACCTTCCAATGCTGGGGACATGGGTTTGATCCCTGGTCGGGGAACTAAGATCCCAACCAGGGAACTAAGATCCCATATGCCATGGGGCAACTAAGCCTGCGTGCCACAACTAGAGAGCCCACGCACCACAATGAAGACCCAGCGCAGCCAAAAAAAAAATGTGATGCACAAACTAAATTCCTAAGAAAACATGAACACCCCAACCCTAACCCCCAATTCCCCAAACACTCTTTACAAGTAAAAAAACAAAACCTTTTTAATGACCATTTTGATAACAGGAGACAAAAAAATTACAAATTTAGACAAGTTGTTAGAAATATGCAATTGTAGCACCAAAAATGCACACTAGATTTGCTAATTCTGAGGACAAGTTGCTGTACACACAGTCTTGCTAGTCCAGAGCAGCCCCTCATCCTCAGAGGCAGTGCAGAGTGCTAACACTACCACAGGTCTGGAAAATTCATCCCCCTCAGTGTTAGGCAACTTTGCTGGAAGAACAAGATCAACAATATCCTTAGGGCAAAACCATTTTAGGTTTTCTATCAAAGTGTCATAAGAGAGTGAAGTATGTCACTCATGTACTTCATAGATGTGCAATAATGTTGAGCTGATAATGATTTTCTCTATTATAAAATATCTGGGCTTTTATTTATAGCAAAAACTACCTTGCTTTCAATATTACAAGCACTAATATCAGCAGCATTAATGAACTGGCTACCATTTCAAAGGTGAGTGTGCCTGTTATATAAACCCTCTTCATTTTTTTTGTACTCTGAAAGCTTTAATAAAAGAAGTGCTTTCATGATGGCAGGCTTTGGACTTATCTTCAAATAAAAGAGAATTTAATTTTAGTGTTTTATATTTCAGCTGGATGACTTTGTGTAGATAGAAGGTATATAATCTGAAGAATAATTATTTTAATACCTTTATAACTTCTCGATGTTGTCAAATAAAACTTATGTATCTTTCACACAATAAGCTGGAGTTGAGAAAGTAAATGGAATGCCTAAATGTGTTACTGAAACTGCAATTTGGGGCTAACAATTCTTCACAATTCATTGCACAAGGAGGTTCCTGTTGTGTCAGTAACATTTTTGATGATCAAGAAAAATAATTTGCAATATCACTGTTCTCCTATTAGTGCACTCATTCTCCTTTCTGAATCTTCCACAGAATAGGTACCCAAAGCTTTGTTGACTTGAACTCAAATCTTTGATGTCTCTGGCACTTTATACAGACAGGAGCCAAGGTAACCCAAGGACTCTTGCATCCTCTCTAGCACACCCTGCCCCCACCCACCCAACTGGAACTAAAAATACCAACGTCATGGGTTTGCTGTGTTAACATGCGTTAATGTGTACAATATCCACTGGTGACAGTTAAAGAGAAACTGGCATTATCATATATTCTTGGCAAGCATGTAAAATGGTAAAGCCTTTTTGGAGGGGAATTAAACAATATCTACTACATTTTTTAATATGCATATATTTTGAACCAGCAATTCTACTTCTAGGCATCCACATAAGAAAAATACTAATGCTACCCTGCAATACTATAAAAGCAAAAAATTTAAAACATACAAAAGTAGGACTTCCTTGGTGGTGCTGTGGTTAACAATCCACCTGCCAACGCAGGGGACACGGGTTCAATCCCTGGTCCGGGAAGATCCCACATGCCACGGAGCAACTAAGCCTGTGCTCCACAACCACTGAAGCCCGAGAGCTCTAGGGCCCACGTGCTGCAACTACTGAGCCCACGTGCTGCAACTACTGAAGCCCACACGCCTATAGCCCGTGCTCTGCAATGAGAAACCACCACAGTGAGAAGCCCGCACAACACAACTAAGAGTAGCCCCCGCTCACCACAACTAGAGAAAGCCCACACACATCAACGAAGACCCAATGCAGCCAAAAAAAAAAAAAACAAACAAACAAAAGTAGATCAGTAAAGAGTGATTAGCAATAGTACTATGGAATACTACAAAAAGAACGAGGTAGAAGCAGATCTACATAAATTGATAAAACAAGTGAAAAAAGCAAACTGTGGGAAAATATGTACAGGAACAGTGCATATAAATTTAAATACGTAGAAATAACTCCTGAAGGACACCCACCAAGCTGCTAACAGCACTACCTTCTGTGGAGGGGAGGGAAATCAAGGCGTTAGGGAGAGGCAAAGAGGGAGGAGGTTAGAGGGAATTTCACATTATACTACTGATGTTTAGACATTTACTCTTGTACCGTTGTGTTTTGTTTTGTTTTTTAAGTTCTTGCCAAATAGTAGGCAATAATGACAGTTCCTTACCAATACTTGAAAAAGGAACTAAGAAAACTTCTCCATATTCTTTAAGTGGAAAGTGTACAGGAATGGCAATCAAGGGTGTTGACTCTGCTAAAAATGATCAGCTACAGGCTTTAGATGAGTCAATGAACCTCTCAGTCTTGGTTTTCTCAACTAAAATAAGACGGGAATGATTTCTTTTCCAATGTTCCATGGACTTAGAATTCTAAGATATATAGAAGGATAACTCCTAGTAAAGTCAGAACTAACCTTCAAGAGATCACCCTGATTCCCAAATATTTTGCTTTAAGATCTTAAGAGACAGAGTAAGTATTTAATATGATCAATGTATTTTTTTAAATATTCGCAATTATCTCAAAGGCCATTAAAGGCCTTTCTTTTTTTAAATTTATTTATTTTTTATTTATTTGTTTTTGGCTGTGTTGGGTCCTCGTTGCTGTTCACGGGCTTTCTCTAGTTGCGGCGAGCAGGGGCTGCTCTTCATTGAGGTGCACAGGCTTCTCACTGTGGTGGCTTCTTTTGTTGCAGAGCACGGGCTCTAGGCACGCAGGCTTCAGTAGTTGTGACTCAGTTGTGGGCTCAGTATTTGTGGCTCACAAGCTCTAGAGTGCAGGCTCAGTAGTTGTGGTGCACGGGCTTAATTGCTCTGCGGCATGTGGGATCTTCCCGGACCAGGGCTCGAACCCGTGTCCCCTGCATTGGCAGGTGGATTCTTAACCACTGCACCACCAGGGAAGCCCAACATGATCAATATTGCTCATGGCAGTTCAGGAAAACTGCAAAAGACAATTTGCACTTTAGATGTTTCTTAAAAGTTTACTTCAACAGTCAAGATTTATATTTGTTCTGCGACTTCCCTGGCAGTCCAGTGGTTAGGACTCCACGCTTTCACTGCCAAGGGTGCAGGTTCAAAAAAAAAAGATTTATATTTGTTCTGATAATCAGCTGCATGAGCCCCACCTATGACTATCCTTAAAAAGAGAGATCAACTCTCAATCACAGTTGGAAACACTGAGCTATAAACCATTCAATTTAGATTAACAAATTGAGGTCCTACTGCTGATATAATCAAAACAACTGAAACCTCATTGGAAGAGTGAGCATTCTTAAAAGAAATATGAGCTGTTCTCCTAAGAATTTATTTATAGATAACTACAACACTACCACAAAGAGTATTCCCCCCACCGCCTCAAAAAAAAGGAATCCTGAAAATGCAAAGGACAACACATAAACCTCTGACTGCTCTATCTATATTCAGCAATCTTGCCTTTTTTCAGTCTTAGAGGGGAAAAAATTGATAATGTGATAAAAAGCTCCTTCTTCAGTACGCTAAGGATCTAAGCTACTCCAAAGAGTACAAATCTATGTGAAAATCAAGTTTTTTAACACTTCTTTATAGAAATTATATCTAAGAATTTTGTCTAGCCATCTCCCCACCCCTCACAAGATTCTCCTTCTGAAAAGCATTGTTTTTTTGAGGATAAATAACACGGGCTAACTATATTGGATATAAATGGAATTAAACTTTGACTCAAAATCTTAGGAAAAACTGTTCCAAAGATAAAAACAGATAGGAAGAAAACATACTTGCTGATAGCTAAATGATAAGTCTCAGAAAACTCATACCCATTTGCTTTCTTCCATTAGGTTGTCTGCCAAGATTTGGGTTTGGAGGCTGAAGTGAAGACCCTTTCAGAAATGTATTTTGGATGTCATCCTTAGTTCCATGCAAGAAATGAGCTAAAATTCCATACAAAAGAGGTCTATAGCAGGAAGAAAATCAAAATCAATTCAATTTGAATAAATAGGAAAAGCTTAAAAGTATCTACTGTTTAAACGGTAGCCTCTGACACGAAAATAGCCAAGTAATTCACCAGACTTAAAAGAAAAAAGATGCATGGTTATTATCCAAATTGCAAACTTGTTCATCATGCCTTCTCAAATTTAAGCGTACCGTTTAACTCTAAAGACAATTTTAAAATCCAGAGAAAACTAACAAGTTAAACCTCACCTAAGCTGAAATACAATTTCAATCAATGCACAGGAATCAGCTTTTTTTTTTAAACTCCAAAGTCCAGTATAAGATTTCCCACTACCTAACATGGTCTGATACAAAACAACTATTCAATATATACTTATTGGATTAATAAATCCTTGCCTGGGTTCAAATCCTGGCCCTGCCACTTGACTTCAGCAAGATTCTTAACGTCCCCAGCCTCAGAAATGTTTCTTCCTCTATAAATGAGGATAAGCATAGTCCCTACCTCATAGGGCAGCTATGGACAAAATGAGTTAATAAATGTCAAGTGCTTAGAACCATACCTGGCACATATTAAATGGTATATAAATGCAAGCTATACAGGAGTCGGGTAAGAACTAGTATTTTAAAAGCTACTTTACAGTTTACAAAACACTCTTCTCTCTCTTCATTTTATCTTTACCTTGTGATATCATAATCATCATCTCCAATTTATAAATGAGAAAACCACAGCTCACTGAGGATTTGCTAGAGATTGCTTAGATAGTCAACAAACTTTACACTTGAACCCCAAGTCCCATATGCTTTTCCTTACAGCATGCTTCCTGGAGATTTACATTAGTGCCCTTGCACCAATGGAGGCTGCTCTGATGACAATAAAGAGTGGTTTTCCCTTGTTTCCAATATCACAGTTGAAAATATCAATTTAATGGATTGTCTTTTTGAGATAATCCATCTACTTATTAGCAGGTGTGATGGTTCAAAGTATGACATCCTTTCCCTTCAAAAGGTGGAGTCGAACTGCTCTCCTCTTGAGTGTGAGCTGAACTCACTTCTCAGGAACTGAGTAACTAAGGCATTAAGTGACAGCACTTGCAACTTCAGAGTCTAGGTCATAAACAGCATTGCGGTCTCCTCCTTGCCTTCTCTCTTGGTCATTCTCTCCGGGGTAAGTCAGTTGCCATGTCATGAGGACACTCAAGCTGTCCCATGGAAAGGTTCATGTAGTGAAGAACTGAGGCCTCCGACAAGCAGCCATGTGAATGTGCCACATGGAAACAGATCCTCCAGCTCCAGCCAAGCCTTCAGATGGCTGTATCCCTGGTCAACATCTTAACTGCAATCTCATGAGTGAGACCAGCCACAGAAGCCACACCCAGATTCCTCTCCACTGATAATACATGTCTGTTGTTTTAAACCACCAACTTCTGGGGTAATCTGTTATACAGCAATAAATAACCAACTACACACAAAAGCAATTTTTCCATACCACAAAGAAACCAAGAGAGTGAGTTTCTCTATTTAATAAGATGCCTCAGCTCTTATAAAAGCTTCATACAGGAATATAAAATAGGTCTCTTTGTCTACTTTAAACCATTGTTTCCCAAAGTGTTAACTGGTCAAAGAAGATTTTTAAATTAAAAAAATTCTGTTTTCCAAATTTACAATAAAATTTACTTAAGATTTAAAATTTTTAAGACATATTAGAAAATATAAAACTACCACATTTAACCTGCAGCTTCATGAACATTAAGGTTTCTTTTTTCAAAAATCCTACTTAGTATTTTTTGTTTGTTCGTTTGTTTGTTTTTTTGTGGTACGCAGGCCTCTCACTGTTGTGGCCTCTCCCATTGCAGAGCACAGGCTCCGGATGCACAGGCTCAGCGGCCATGGCTCATGGGCCCAGCTGCTCCGTGGCATGTGGGATCTTCCCGGACCGGGGCACAAACCCGTGTCCCCGGCATCGGCAGGTGGACTCTCAACCACTGAGCCACCAGGGAAGCCCCTACTTAATGTTTTTAAAGTACAGCTTCACAATGCCTTATTTGCAATTCTGAAAAACAAAAAACTCTGAAAACTAATTTTCTTCATAAATTTGACACAAACTCATTTGGTGGCATGGCTTGACCTAATATAAGGTTATTATACACTTTATCCTACTTTTTGTGAAAATTCTTAAGTTTCACTGAAAAATATTAATGTGCCTATTAATGCTACTTCAGACTTCCACTGGAGCCTACACCATATATGGACCACATTACTTTTTAAAATCTGAAAACTTTTCAATGGAAATGTTTTAAAGCAACATTTGCTTTCAGAAAGCAAACTACTGGCAGCGTGACGGGACAGACGCCTCCTGAACTGCACGGCACAGGTCGTGAGGACAGACAGGCGCTACTGCACAGGCCAAATTGATGAGACTCGCAAAATGACTGGTGGAGAAGTAAGGAGCCAGAAGTGCACGTGAGCTCTCAGGTGAAGACCTGAATGGCTGTATGAGGAAGCTACGAGGGGGTCTTGAAGAGATGAAAATAATGGACTTGATATTTGGACACACAGAGTTTGAGATGCCAGCAGAAATGTGGGCCTGTAATTCACAAGCTCTGTAAGATTTAAAGCAGAGTCACCAGCATGGAGACATCATTAAAGACTCAAGACTACATAGAAAAGTGGGCAGGGGGACAAGAGGAAAAGAAAGTTAAGGACAAAACTTGGGGGAGAGTGCCCACAATTTAAAGGAACCCTAAAGGAGGCAATGAAGAAACTGTGACGACCATTAGGAAGACAGAAAAACCAAGACAGTAAAAGGTCATAAAAGACAAATGACAAGAAGTGTTTTAAGGAAGAGTTGTCAATGTTACAAAACACTGCAGAAACTCAAGTAAAGCTGAGCTTCTCAAATTGGAAATAGATATATACCCACTCTTAGTGCTAGGGGCCTGGTACAAAGTACAGGTGGCATATGATCCCAGAAGACTAATTTTACACAAAGATTTGAGGGAGAGTTCAATTTAATTGGCATGTCATTTAAAACATTTTAATGGTAAAAATAATTATATCATAAAGTAGAATGAAAAAATTCAATAAACCTTTTAGAAAGAGGAAACATGAGACTTCAAAGAAATTTCTTACTAGGGGAAAGGTGCTTTGTCTATGTTCCCAGGCCTCCTAGGTACAATTTTTTCTGCCATTCAGGGATCCTCTAGAAAAAGTTTAAGAAACACTAAAGTAGGAAAAAAACTAAGAAACTACTAGAAAGTGGTCACTCTTTTTCAAGAGCATAGTTTCAGTAAAAACGGTGAGGGGAGAATTTAAAATGCAGAGAAGGCAAAAGAGGGGGTAATAACAAAATGAAAACAGGGGGTTGATCTTCACTAAGTTCAGTGATAAAAAGGAGTTAAGAGGTTTTCTTGGGGAGGGGAGATTTGAGTACATTCCCAAGTTGAAGTGAAGGAAGCAGTGAGGAGGAAGAGTTAAATGTGAGGAAGAAAACAATTGACAGAGCAAAGCCTCAGGTAAAAAACAAAAGGATGGATCAAGAAGCCGAGAGACGTGACCCTTAGGATAAAGCAGGGGTGCTCAGTCCTCTGAAACCACAGGCATTTAGCACCTACTCACAGCTGCACACCGCAGACGTGTGCTAGATACACACTGGGCCCAAATAAATACCTCCTGAATTAAAATGAAATAAAACCACTGCTATGCAATTATGACTCCAATACAACAATATCTGAAAACTTATTTTTTTTAAAAACTTCTTACATTGTATTATCCTTTGATTCTTCAAATGCATTTAGTTCACGGATGAGAAACTGTCTGTCCAATGGAACTATGGGTTGACCAGATTCTGGGGGGAAAATCATAAAACACTGAGTCTTTATTAATGTAAAAAGTAAATAGGATTTTGATAAAAACCACACTTACGAGGTATACACATTTTTCAGATTTTAGAAGAATGATGGCACACGCCAAGGCAGATGCAACTGTATGTGATTTTATGACTTTCAGAATAGCTACTTTGTTAAATGCATATTTTAATACAGTTTAACATAAATTTATTTTTTAAATCCCCCAGTTTTGAGTTGGGAAAATATTGTTTCTATATACTAGACTTCAGAAGTCCTATTTTCTAAGAAGCCTGTAAATTAAATACATGACAGTGCTGATATCCATTTGGCGGCAATAAATCTAAAAGTACAATAAACACTAATGTGAAGTGCTGGCAAGGATACAGGGCAACTGGAACCCTCATACTCTGCCGGCAGGAGAACAAAATGCTGCATCCACTTATAAAGGTAAGCATACACTTACCACACACAACCCAGCAATCCCACTCTTAGCTCTTTACCCAAGAGACATGAAAACAACGTTCGGCCAAACCTTGTAAATGAATGTTTTATAGCAGCTTGACTCATAATTGCCAAAAACTAGAAACAATCCAAATGTCTATCAACTGATAATAGATAAATCAATACAGCCATACAATGGAATGCTATTCGGAGGGGAAAAACAACAGCATGGTCTCAAATGTGTTACTGAGTGAAAGGAAAAAGATTCAAAATGCTACATCCTGCATGGTATCACTTATATGACGTTCTGGAAAAGGCAAATGATAGGTACAGAAAACAACAGATCAGAGGTTGCTAGGGGTTTGAGGGTAGGAGAAGAGGTTGTCTACAAAGGGACACAGGGAATTTTTTGAGGTGATGGAAACGTTCTATATCGTGATTGTGATTGTGGTGGTAGTTACACAACTGTATGAATTTGGTAAAATCCACAGAACTATATACTAAAAATCGTAAAGAATCTATGTTAATTTTACCTCATTTTTTGTTTTAAAAAGCCAAGACACTGTAGAAACTTGACTATGTCATTATATTCCATTCTAGGTAAGCACAAGCCCAAGACATCTAATTGATGATATTTTCATATTCTTTTCTGATTATTAATGTATTATACAGCCATCTATAACAAACTGAAGAAAGTGAAGATACTGATATTGAAGATCTTTAAACCAATAAAAATCATCAGTCTGTATTCAGTTAAGGTATTAACATTCAGTTAACATTAAATAAAAGATCTAGAATATTAACAAAAGATCTATCGAATGGAAAGTTCCAGCATCACAAATAAGGAATCCATTCTCTCTTCCAAAATCCACTTCATGATCTCTTTTCTTTGATGAGGCATATCTCCAAGGCACCAAACAGTCTTAAAGCACAGATTACACCTTGAACAAGGGAATCAAGTTATGTACATGCAAGGTGTTTTTGATCATCCTCCCAACCTCATCTCCCCCAGCCCAGAGGCAACGCTGATCCTGACTATTGTGCATATTCTTCCAGTTCTTTTGCTTTCTTAAGAAATAAAATTTAACAGATAAATTTCTTTTTAACTGTTGACTCCCGCCCCTCAATACCATTTCTCTCCCTCCCATCAGTAGAATGAGTTTGGAGTTTACCTTCCTAATCCTTTTCTTTTTTTTTTTCTTTTTTTTTAATTGAAGTATAGTTGACCTCTTCTTTCTTTTTTTATTTAAGTATAGCTGGTTCACAATATTATATTATATTAGTTTCAGGTGTACAACACAGTGATTTGAAATTTCTATAGATTATCTAATCCTTTTTAGATATCATGCTTTCAAATACATTTGTATACAGTGCCTGATCAATACATGGTAGCAATATTTTGAGGCTTTATCTCCCCATGTTTTATATTTTTTAATAAAGAATATATATTAAATCTGTGTGTATTTTTAAAGCATATACATAGAAAAAAGACTGACAGCACATAGGGTAAAATGTGAAGAATTGTTTATTCTCAATACCAGTAAACAAGTATTTATTGTCAGCGCCAGGAATTATGGATGATTTTTCAAAGTATGCACCTAGTTTAAGTGTTTATTGAGTTATTTTCCCCTATAATACAATAAACCTCACGAGCACTTGTTCAAGCTATGGAAAGAGCCCATGGGAGTTTTATGTTCCAGTCATGTCCCAGATGATACTGTTTGGTAATGGAATTAGATTTCTAGGCTAACCACTTTCTGAGAATTGGGAGAAGGGAAGAGGCAGATTTCATATCAGGTAACTAACAATAAATAACCTCTTACCTGCTATGAGGACAGACGCTGTATACTTATATTTGTTGAATTCCAAATACTCCCGAATTAATTCATTAATTAGAAGGTTTTCATGAGACAATGATGGTCGAGGTTCACTTTCATCATCAAGAGCATTGAAAACTTCAGCTCGAATCCTTGCTTTTAAATGCCCTAATACTCCTCTTTTTTCCAAGGTGTCCTTTAAAACTGTTAAATATAAAATATCAATGCTTCAGTTACAGAAGAAATTTTGTCATTCTTAGCCAAACTCTGAAGAAAAATGCTTAAAAGGTAAATGGCATAACACGCACTTTCAACCTATACTCTATGACAAACTGAACAATCTTCACATTAGCTACCACAAGCCACATTTGTAATAAAAAATAAAGTTCCTGAGTTGCGATGATTTACTATTTTAATATATTTAAGCAAATTCAAATTTATCCTTCCAACATCATCACTGTCAGAGGCTATAGACTGATACACATTCTTTAGTGAAGAAGAAAAGGGGGAGAGAAATATACTTAGCCTACTGGGACCTGAACTTATCTCCCAGTGTCTCATATCTTTTCAAGAATGGTTGTCACTGCAGACAGGTTCTGTATGTCACTAAAACCCTCTGGTCCAGAAAGTAGATGATTAAAGATAACAAGTACACTCCAAAAAGGAAGGACTATGTCGTGCCCTTTGTATAAAAACTGATACCCAGAACCCTTGGGAAATGGCCCATTCTGAACAAAAAGGTGGGCTTTTGTTCTGGGGGGGTTGTTTTTTAAAGGCAATTATGAGTTAATTCCTTTAAACAGTAAGATTTTGAAATTGTAAGCCTACTTAGAAATCTAACATGTAACTTTATCAATGTCATCTCAAGGAATCAGGGATATATATGCTGAATGTAATCTAACTTCTTGATAAGCAAGGGTCATTATTACAAATATCAGTAGTTATGATAATGAGATTTAGCTATAAATACTAATATGGATAGGGCTGAATTGGCATCATCCCTTGCAGTGGTCTGGAACCTTTTTTTTTTTTCTCACGTTGTCCTTAATAGCTAAATAACACTCCAGAGAATTAACACATTTCACCCATAGTGCCTAGAATAGAGAGCTGCCTAGTGGCATTATAATACTGTGCTGTATACTATTAGTGTAATAAATATAGTTTAATACTGTATTATGCTATAAGTAAGTACACCCCAATAATGACAATTCAGAAAGGGAGCCCAGGGACTTCCCTGGTGGCACAGCGGTTAAGAATCCACCTGCCAACACACGGGACACGGGTTTGAGCCCTGGTCCAGGAAGATCCCACAGGCCACGGTGCAACTAAGCCCGTGTGCCACAACTACTGAGCCTGCACTCTAGAGCCCGCAAGCCACAAGTACTGAAGCCCACGCGCCTAGAGCCCATGCTCCGCAACAAGAGAAGCCACTGCAATGAGAAGCCCACGCACCGCAACTAAGAATAGCCTCCGCTCACCGCAACTAGAGAAAGCCCACGTGCAGCAACGAAGACCCAATGCAGCCAAAAATAAAATAAAATAAAATAAAAGGAGCCCAGGGAGTGTATCCAAGTAGGCATGGACATGAAATTTTTTTAAGCTTTGATAAACAACAAAAACCTGAGTCAGGTTTTGTTGATTAAAGAGATACAATCTAGACTAGACTTTAACCTTTCTTGGCCCTTATATTTAGATTCATCCCCTCAACCTTTTTTGCAGGTGTGTTAAGAGTACTTATCATCCAGTCAGACTGTGTAACAGGCCCATAAAAGGAAGGTACAGCTTTATTATGTTGGGATCATAACTGAACACCTGTTCTCCAATTCCATCTTTAGAAATTAGACGGAGAGATTTTTCCCCCCCAATTACTCTGTATTTGCACACAGCACAGCCTCAAACTCAGCAAAGAAAGGAGAATTAATGAAGCTGGAGTTAGGAAACCCAGCATGTCTCATCACTACCTCAGCGGTAGATCACTAACTCCTGCCTCACTTGTCTTCTCCAACATGAGTTCTATGTCTCAGAGGTAGAACCAAGTAAGGGGGAAAAATGTGAGGTGAAAGTGCTTTAAAAAGGTGAAAGCCCATATAAGATAATTGATTGGCAAGCATTTTCAATGGGTTTCTCTTGAACACTAAGTATATTCAGAGCTGACGAATGCAGGAAAAGCATAAAGGGCTCCCTACATCTGTGTAGGACATTCCTTGTCTAGAGAGTTCTAGGGTTCCATATCATCCTGATATGCCCTCTATTATCATGTTTATTAAAACACTGTACCATGACAATTTCTTTGGAAAGAGCTTCTTAACCTGGTTTATATTCCAAAGTATCTTTAAATCCTCAGAAGTTGCATGCAATAGTATAGGTGATATGTGTTTCCTGGGGAGAGAGTTCACCAATTCATGTCAAGTCTGTCCTTGTGGATAGAGGTATGCCTTTTTAATGATTGTTCATCAGTCCTGGGCCGGAAATATACATTTAGATCAATAATTCCTGAATGATATTCTCAAATCATACTCTCCCCACCAAATCTCTAAGAATCACTGATTTAGAGCCTAAATTCCCTGAAAAATGGAACTGGTTTTACTAGGGGGGCAGCAGTATCACTCAGTAACTAAGACCTGCAGGCCTGGTGCAGCATCTCTAGGTTCTCACTCTGCCTCTTTATAGCTAAATTACTTTAGTCGATCTATTTCACCTCTCAGCGCTTCAATTTCCTAATCTATGAAATGGGCATAAGGTTCATACACAGAATAAATTAGGTAACACAGGGGCTGGGCTGTGCCTGACACATAAGGCTCGACGACTAATAACTATAATTACTATTACTTGTTTGGACATTTGCGTCAAAACTAACGATGTACAAATGTTCTCAGCTTAAGGACTCGAACCTTTGTGGAACTTTTCCTAAAAACACAGGAGAATGGCCAAGCCAGACACCTTTCTACCTCCACTTTTTCCCAATGGAAAATCGCGACCCACCTCGCAGGTGGTTGTAAGGACGCAATGAGATAAGCAAGCAAATGGTTTAGGATTGTGCTGAACACCAACAATGGTGGTTTAGACATTGTAATCATCAGCCCAGGGGGAAAGGCCCGGCCCATGGCCTCGCCCCCGCCGAGGTCCAGAAGGATGCGCCAGAGCCCCAAGGTGCAGAACTATAGACCTCTCAGGTACCTGGGGATCCTGGGACTCCTCCTCCAGCTCAAAGCCGGTTTAAACACTGTCCCTATGCAACTACATCCCCTCAGGGCCCCCGCGCGGCGGCCACCACACCCTCTGGACGCTCCGCAGGCCCTGACGCCACAGAACGACCCACGGAAAGGCTGACTAGTGTTCCGCGCACCCTCATTTCGTCCCATCCTTTTCACAGGCTGAAGGCCGACAAAGTTCAGCCGGTAAGCCTCCCATTCGCACTCACCCGCCTTCAGCTCGGCAACAGTAGCCATTTTTCAACGGCCCACAAGGGCGTGCCTAGGCCGTGCGCACGCGCAGCTCCGCCCCGCTCCGCGGCGTGGCCTGTAGCCAACAGGCCCTCCGCTCTCGCCGCGCCTAGTCCCGCCCCTCTTCGTTTACGCTCTCCGTGGTTGGATGGGGTGACGGTCCAGAGAGACCCCACCAATCAGCGAGTGCACTAGGCGGGCCCTGCTGAGGGAGGAGGGAGGGTGAGCCCGGGCTGAGGCAGGTTGGAACCTTACCAGGAGTCTTGCTGGCACCGTAGGGCTTAACTTTAGCCTTCATGATTTGCCCACCGCTCACCTCTGCAGCCTCAAGTACTAATTGTTAATAGTTACCAGGTATTAAACTTGAGATTGCATCAGAATCACCTGGAGAACTTGTTAAAACAGATTTCTGGGCCCCACCCCTGGAGTTTCTGATTCAGTAAATCTGGGGTGAGGTCCGAGAATTCCATTCTAACAAGTTACTAAATGATGCTGATGCTGCTGATCTTGGGGATAACACCTTGAGAACCAGTGTATTAAGGGCTTACTATGAATGAGCCTGACACTCTTATAAGTGCTTTACATGCATTGACATTGATTTCTCTATTACTACTACGTTTCACAAAGGAGGAAACTGTTTGAAGACTGCAGAGGCGTAAACAAGATCACCAGCAAATGGTGGAGGTGAGATTTGAATCCAGGCCTCTTGCTCTTCAAAGCCTGTTCTCTCCACTGGCGCTTAATACTGGGCAGTGCACATAAGGAATCCAAGAGCTATTTGTGAAGATGATTGATGAACGAATAAGCTCTAGCATCCCAAGGAAATGAAGAAAAAGGAACAAGGGAATAATGTACCCCGAACTGAGTGTGAGGTTCTATGATTCCAATTGTATTTCCAGAAAGGTCAACATTTTTGACCTAGAACACTGCCTTTTAAACTACTAGTCTTAACCCAATAGTAGATTTTGAAATCTATTAGCATATCCCAATGAACATATTTTCAATGAAATGGAATGGAACAAATAGAAAACATAGAAGTATCGTTTTTGAAACTTTTGTTTCAGGTCTATATGTGTGTTCTGGTTCCTGGTGTATTTCTTAAAGTGGATGGCAGTGAAAAAAAGCTTCACAGCCATTGTAACCTAGAGGAACGCATTCCTATTCCAAACTCAATTCATTTTGACCTCGTGGGACACAGATCTGTTCTGTAACCTTAGAACGGTGCTATCCTGTTGCACTTCCCTATTCTGTAAAGCCCACAGTGCCTGAAATCCTAGCCAGCATCTGAAGAGATTTATAAGGATTAACTAAATTCCGTAGGCAGAATGTTTGAGCTCTTTGGAAAAAGCATTTGTGAATATACTGATGAGGAACTCAGAGAGAGAGAGGCAAATAATAATGATTAATAGTGGTAATCATACAATAACTATTAACCTCCATTGCCACTCTGTGTGTGGCAGGCCCTGCTCTTAAAACTCTACTTTAAGTCCTCACCAACAGCCCTATGAGATAGATACGCATAGAGCAGTCGTCTAAAGTGAAATCTCATTTAAAATTGTAGTGATATTGGGTAATACACTGTGTTGGTGATGATGTGGTGAAACAGGTATTATTAAGATGTTACGGAAACACCAGAACGAACTTTTTGGCCAACACAATGCCATACCTAGCTGGTAGGCAAGGAGACTGGCCCCACCTTCTCAGAAGGCTGTTTGGCATACCTAAACAACCTTTCACATCCTTGCCCCATCAATTCTAGTTCTAAGACTATATCTTACAGTTATACTCATACCTGATTATAAAGGATATGTGTATAAGAATATTCATTGTAGCACTGTTTGCAGTAGACAAAAATCTATATATACCTATGGGAATGGCTGAAATAAAAACAACTTACAATGACAATACCAAATGCGGGTGAATTGGCATATATTGCTGGTAGAAAGACAAAGTGGTACAGTCACTTTGGAAATCAGTTTGGCAAGTACTTAAGTCAAACATGCACTTACCATACAGCCCAGTAATCCCACTCCTAGATGTTTACCCAAGAGAAATAAAAACTTATGTCCACACAAAAACTAGTATGCAATGATAGCAGATTTATTCGTGATTGCCCCAACTGGAAATGACCCAATGTTTTCCAGCTGGTGAATGGATATGAACTAGCTGTGGTATATCTGTACCATGGAATATAACTCAGAAATAAAGAGGAACCAAACACTCATACACACAACAATATGGATGAATCTCAAATGCATTGTGCCTAGTGAAAGCAACAAGGCTCAAAGGCTGCATCCTGTATGATTCCACTTATATGACATTTTGGAAAAGGGAAAGTCCTTTTGGGCAGGGTACAGAAAGCAGATCAGTGGTTGCCAGGGGCTGGGGATGAATGAAGGGGATGACTGTGTATAAAGATGCACTAGGGAGACTTTTGGAGTGATGAGATTGTTCTGCATCGTGGTTGTGACTACATGATTGTATATGTTTATCAAAATTCATAGAGCTGTACACTACCGCATGTATACCTCAATCATCTTGACTTTTAAAAAATAACTGGAAATAACAATATCATCAGTAGGGGGATTGGTTAAGTAAATTAAGGTAAATGAAATACTATGCAGTCATTCCAAAGAAGAGGGAGCTCTAAACATATATATGTAATTATCAGAAAGATGCATAGACAGAAATTTTTAAAAGCACGGTACAGGAGACTGTGTGTAGTATGTCACCAATGGTCTAAAGAAAGGGAAAATACTATTTGTTTACCTATGAAACCATTCTCCATATAATTAAAAAACTCATCCTTCTCTGTGATGACCTAGATGTGGGGGGAGAGGAGGAGGGAGGTCCAGGAGGGAGGGTATATAGGTATGCATATAGCTGATTCACTCCTTTGTGCAGCAGAAACTAACACAACATTGTAAGGCAATTTTACTCCAATAAAAAAAATTAATACATAAAAATAAAGAGAGGGAAGCTTGGGGCAAAAAAAAACCCCAAAACCCAACTCATCCTGAAACTGTGCCTCATAGGATTAACAGAAACTGGTCACTAATAGAAATTCTTGAGGTTATCTAACAGCTTGCTTAAAAACCCCTCTGCTTGTAGCCCACCTTCACTAGGCAAGCTTGCCTTAATTATTTTGTTCAAATTGCATAGGCAGCAAGCTTCATGAAGCCTAAACAATAAAATGTTTGCCTGAGTTGATTTCCAGGAACTTGGAGTCAGCTGTGTCTTGTTCAAGCTCAATCAGGCTAAGACTGGTTGGGACCACCAACCCTAAAACTGGGCCTGTGCGGGTGTCTGATGAATAACCTTTTGATGTCAGAGGGCCAAAAATGCCACCCTCGGATCGTGCTAAGTGCCTCCATTTTTGAACATACATCCCATGAAAAAGCGTGTAACTCAGATATGTCTGTGTAGAACAGTGATTACCTCACATTTTCCCTACCTCCAATCACCTTTCCCCATACCTAAGACCAACCTTCTTTTTTTAATTAACTAATTTATTTATTTATTTTTGGCTGCGTTGGGTCTCCGTCGCTGCACGCGAGCTTTCTCCAGTTGCAGCGAGCGGGGGCTACTCTTCGTTGCAGTGTGCGGGTTTCTCATTGCGGTGGCTTCTCTCGTTGCAGAGCACGGGCTCTAGGTGCGCAGGCTTCAGTAGTTGTGGTGCGTGGGCTCAGTAGTTGTGGCGCACGGGCTTAGTTGCTCCGCGGCATGCGGGATCTTCCCCGACCAGGGCTCGAACCCATGTCCCCTGTACTGGCAGGCGGATTCTTAACCAGCGTGCCACCAGGGAAGCCCCATCTTTCTTCTTTATCCCATAAATATCTCAAGCCCCTCTCCTGCAGAGAAGTGGATCTGAGATTTGTTCTCCTGTCTCTTCACTTGACTACCTTGTAAATAAACCCTTTTTTTTTGCTGCAAACCTTGGCACCTCAGCATTTTGGCTTGTGGCACATCAGGCAAACAAACCTGGTTCAGCAATAGCTATACATAGCACACATCTGAAAAGTTATACAAGAAAGTACAAACAGAAATTGCCCCTGGGGAAGACTGGATAGCTAGGGGTCAGTGGTCAGAGAGAGACATTCTTTAATGCATAGAGTAATTTTGATTTAAATTTTTAATTTTGTGTATACATTACTGTGCACAACGAGCTGTGTGCAGGTGAAACTTGATAGCCCTCCTTTTGACCACATTAAGGGTCTTGACATGCTCAATTCTTGAAGTGGTGGTGGTGGGGTAAGTAACACCTCCCTTGACCAATGGGAGCCAGTGAATAATCCATGTCTCAGGTGGACATTTATGAGACATATTCTACATAGTTCCCTAGAGGGTCTCCAGTGGAATTAAGCCCTAGGTGCTCAGAGCAGTAACTCACCACTGCACCGGTCTCCCCTTCTTCCCAAGTTCACTGCCACAGTCCCCCCAACTCCAGTTTCTCAGAATTCTTCCCCTCAAAAAACTATTTCCAAAATAACTCCTTGTCTCAGATTTTGCTTTTTGGGTTAAACCAAGCTAGGACAATTAAAGGAAATACAGAGTTCTTGAACGATTCTTCATCATCACAATGAGGGGTTTCAGCTTCTTGACACAGGATCATTGCAACTGATCACCTCAAGTGCAATAAATGGCAGGTCATGAACTTCACGGAATCTGAATTCACGAGCTCTTATGATGACAAAATGGGAATTTTATTGTTGCAGCTCGCTTTTTTGTATGTTATCATTATGTAATATTGTACGCTGATGCAAATATTCAGTTGGCCAAAAGTTCATTCAGAGAAGCCGAACAAACTTTTTGGCCAACCCAATATATGTAACTGATGTGTACAGAGAGCATTCCAAACGAGGGAAGGAAGGGTACATAGAGGAAGGACCTGAGATGTCTTCTCAAACCACAGAGACTTGCTTTGGTGTTTTAATAATCTGGTTTCCGGGGTTGGCTGCCTCTTTCTGTAAATAAAGTCCAATTAGGACACAGCCATCGCCACTTTC